TTACTGACATTATGACTGTTCCCCCACCCACCCCAGAGCTCGCTTCTTGGAAGGCACAATATAATCCCTGTCTCGCAAAGCATCACATTGGGAGTGTCATAGCCAGGCCTATTGCTTTCTCATAGCCAGAGGGCCTCTGACCCAGTTGTTAACACTCTTTGGTTTATAGCACAAAGAGTATCTGCACTGAACTAAAATAAGCAAGGAATTTTTTCCTTCTTTGTTTTTTATCCCAAATTATCAAAAGCCACTGTGAAAGCAGAAGAGTCATGTTAATGATACCTCTCCATCTGCGCAATACATATACATCTCTGAAAATCTATTTTAAGGCCCACGCACTGAACAGTAGCCACAGCTTCATTAGATCACAAGTGCTGGATAAAAATTCACATCACTGGTTTAATATCAATGATTTAGAAGGGAAGATCAGACAGAATGTTTCTGTTCATTGAATCATTTGAATTACAGAACATAATTCACTTCTAAGGAAAATCTTTGTCTGAGATCCTTTACCTTTTGACATGCAAAGAATACAATTTCTTCACTTTTTTCAGTTGTCAATAGTCTCCAATGAAAAATGTACTATATGTTTCTTCCTCATAAGGAAGACGACACCTTCAAAATTGCATTGAAATTTCATTCCTTTGTGCAGGAATTTTTAAAGCCCATGGCAATACCTGCATCTGAAGTTAGACAAGAATGAAACATCCCATAGATGTACTAACACCAAAGAGTTTAGCTAATATTGTGAAGCTGTTTTATAGCAACAAAGTTTTGCCAAAGTTAAGTTTGCATTCCTGAGCTTGGAGCTTAATTTCAAAGGTCTGATATTGCTGGAGAACAGGGTCAATTCACATTCTGGTGTTTTTCCTGACCTAGGACATGACTTCACAGCTATGCATCAGTTACATATGGAAATGTAAAAGTTAAATGTGAAACTTAAATAATTACATTATGTTGTATGTTGATTATCTCACATAAGAATCTAGGATTGAAGCTCTAAACCCTGACTGACATTTTGTGTGAGTGATTTAGTGCCAAAAGTGAGTTTAGCAATCAGATTTTTAAAATAAAGAAAAGGAAAAAAAAGCATCATTATGAGAACACTTTCCCCCTGGAGAGAACAAAGGCCCTAACTTAGGACTTCTCCTGTTGCCAGCAATCCAAATTTGCTTTCCTAGAAGCAAATTCCAGTACCACCTACCTTAAACCACAGAAGACCTGGAAATTACATCTTACATATCTACGAAGAACTGAATAGTTTTCATGGGTTTCCCAGGACTTGGACAATTCCAAATACTGCGGAGAATCTTACTATCTAATATTTTTCTTCTTGGGAAGAATTAATGGCACACATCCAGAGACAGAAGGACTCACACTTAAACAGAACAAGGACTGCACATTCTTCTGCTGTGTGATATGCTGTCTGCAGGAACAAACATCAACCCCAGACTTCACCATTTCCATATTGCCAGCAAAAAGACAAGGAAGTCCTAAGCGTTTCTTACTGTGCCATAGAGGTTCACTGATGCAACAAGATGTTAACATTCTTCTGCCACAAAGGCTTTAATCACATAAAGACCCTTCTGCTTTTGTACTTTGCAAACAGAAAAAACTCAGCAAAACTCTTTGTCCCCCACCCCTGATAAATCTCAGAAGAAACCATGCTTGGAATGAAGTCATCAACTATGTTAGTGAAAGCATAATAATAATAACAGAAGAATTTGGATACTGCATAGTAAATGAACTTGAGAACACACATTGTAAGGCATGGCAGAGATGAAATACTGAACATCTGCTTATTAAGGAAAACAGTTGACCTCATCTTGTGCAGTGGGAGAGCTGAGGTTCATAGAAGCATAAATGTATGACCATGCAATTACACACTGTGCCATAATCTTTACACAGCACCCAACAGGGTCAATTACAATTGTAGAGACAATCTTAATTCTTCCAGCATTTGAGTTTTCCATTTGCCACCTTTCCATACTTCTCATGCATATTTCATGCTCAATTTGAAGGGCAGGAATCCTTATTAATATAACTAAACTTCTACTTTATTCCCCACAGCACATAAGGCCTGTCAAAGACAAGTTGGGCCACTCAGAACTGAGTATACAATAGCTAGTGAAGTAGTTCATGCTCCATCTTAAGCACGGCCTAAATTCAAACCTAAATTCTGTCTTGAAGCCAAGCCATTTGGACAGAGGACCATGCTTACATCCTTTTTGGTTGAAACCTACCAGCGTGACGATAGCATTGAGCTCTTGCTACTTTTCAGCATGGGCTCAGCAATGCCAACCCTCTAAAGCACGTGTAAGATTTGCAGGAAGCCGAACTACAGGCATTATCTCACTAGCAGACAAAACAGGTAGTGTTAATTACAGAGCATGTACTAGGACTCTCTCAGTCTTACATTCTACCACAGTGCTGGAAATAATTAATTATGTAAATAAGTAATTATGGATCATTACATGAAGAAAGTAATTAGCTTTCACTGCTGAAGTATGCAGGTATATAACACAGGCAAGGTCATCTGTCTATAGAAGGCAGTATTCCACCCAAGAGCACTGGAAAAAAGATGGCTGCTCTAGCACAGCAAGCTGATGGTACTTGGTGTTAGCAAGGGAACAGGGATATTAGCTGCCCACAGCCTCACCACCAGGGCGCTGGCAGCAGACCCTGACCTACCAGGCACAGGGGCACTGAAGGCCCCTTGGCAGTCTTGCCTGTGTTGTTCAGGTGTGGCACCTCTCGCTAGAGACAGCTGTGGTAGGGCCCAGAAGACCTGTGAGGCAGTATTGTTGAGATCAAGCCCCAATCAGATCAGAAAGTGAGCTGCATACTTGCACTTTGTGGTAGAAGGAAGCTGGAGTACACCCCAGTTATGCTCCTTCCATTCTTTTAATCCCTTTTCAGTATCAGATGCTGGACTTTAATATTGGGTAGAAGCTGTCAGACTAGTGGTGGTCCAGTTATTTCAAAATGTCATATCCAAATGTCATCCTTAAAAATCCATTTCTGAATGAAAATGCTGCAAATTTTTTGTGAAAAGACATTTGCTTGCTTCATAAAGGGCATATGTATCTCAATTAACAGACTGGATTTAAAACCTGAAGTTAGCACATGCTGGAACATATCTGTGGTATCTGTCATTACTCCTTTCAAGCTCTGCCATAGCTCCCACATTTCCTGAAGCCCTAAACCCGAGAATGTATTCATCACACTTGTTAAAGAGCCAAGGCAAAAAGTCCAAAACAACAAACATGATTAGCCTGTCCTTTCTGTAGGCTTCACCTGGAGCCATATTAACCAACTGATGAAGATGTGATTCCCTGTCTTGTTTCCCCAACATCCTGCAGCTGCACTAAGGGAGTAACTTTGTGACTGTGGATTCATGACCTGGGACACACACTTTCAAACTTGTATTCTGTATAAATAGTCTGTTCCTATTCACTCACTCAACTCATATGCTCATTTCTCACTCAGAAATTCGTTACTATTTTTTTTCCCCCCTTGTGCCTAATGCAGGCCTACACCTTTTCCTAGAAACAGTTCCACCTATAAACATACATTAAACATATACTGCACACACTGATATGTTTATATTAATATATTACACTATCTAGACATATATACATTAAATACATTATAAAACGAACAAGTTTAGACCAGATAGGGGTTCTGAATCTGTCTGTCTGGTAGCTGATGCCCTCTTTTAAATGATCATATGAATACCTTTCTCTGATATTGTCACAGGTACACACTTTCTTTTCTTAGAAACATAATGCCAAATTTCTTTATTTGCAGAACAGTTCTCAATACCTCTTTACAAGATGCACTATGCCACCAGAACAATTCATACTTATCTATGCTTCGCTCTTGAATCATAAGGACTGGGTCAGAAGTTTGGCCCAATATGGACATAGTTTTGTTTATGGACAGCCACTTTCAGCTCTGTGATGAGACTTTGAAGCTTTTTCCCAGACATGTTCTTAGGGCACTGTAACCTGCGCAGAGATAGGCACTGCACAGGGAACATCTCTTTTACTAAGAATACTCCTCATTCTGTCTACAGGTATTTTCTGTTGTTTTTTGGCCTGTGATGTAAGTCAACACATAGGTCTTCCTCATCAGAAACCCCTCCTCCACCCATTACCCACATTTCTTTCCAAGTTGTCTGAGCTCCAGGACCTCTTCCTATAAAACTAAGTTATACTAAAGAGGCCATTTTGACCCAGTCTTGAGGGTGAGGTAGCAAAACTGCCTTCTCCCTCCACACATCAATCCCTAAAAGCTAATGCATGGTAACAGTCGGTTCAGCTACCGTAAATTAAGGTAACTTCCCTAGTAAAAGTTTGTTTTGTACATTTATTTTCAATCTCATTCTGAATCCTCATAATTCTTCATTTCCTTCCCATGCTAAATTGTATCATTACAAGAATCACCTTAAGTATAAGAGAGTGCTTCCCAATGTTTAAGCCTCTCAGATAAATTAAAATCTTTCTTTTAGATGAATCCCCTGTGAATAGTGGAAGCCTAAATATAAAAAGTAGAGTAAATTTGTCCCATTTCACCTGTCAACACAAAGAAAGCCTTGGAAGCAACACAGAAGATACTTGGACTGTATCTCTCAGAAACACTGAATTATGGCCCTTTTCACAGATCACAAATGCAAGCTTGGAAAGCACCCACACAGGGCCAAAGAAGCCTCTAACATTTAAAATACTGTTAGCATTTAACAGATGATGAAAAAAGAGAGATTTTTCTTCCCTCATCTTCACTCTCTATTTCAACTTTGTAGGGCTTTTCAGTGTGGGACGTGTTTAAACAGGGACAGAGCTCAAGGGACAGGGCACAAGATTAGAAAGTTCAGTGTGGCAAAGTAATTACTTGGCTCTATCCAGGTGCTCAGGGAATGGTCAAAAATCAGCTGAAAACAGTAGCTCTCCACTGAGCATTATGAGTTGCCAAGTGTGTGCTGAAAGCTGGATCCCTACCTTGTCTCGAATCCCTTGTCTCATAACTTCTCTTTCAGCCTCCATCTTGGCATATTTGGCTTTCCTTTCTTCCTCTTCTTGCCTGAGGGCTTCCTGTCGTTCCTCTTCTTTCTTGGCAGCATCTGGGTCTTTCTCCTCATCCCCACCCAGCATCTTCCCCATGTCTTTGGTAGCCCCTAGAGAAAGGACAAGAGAAAGTCAGCCTGTAAGAATGTGGGAAAACCACCATGATGCTAGCTCTCTCCTTCCCCATGCTTAGGATCTCCTTCCACTCCCTCTGCATCTGGAAATGCTTCTCCTTCCACTGAGGAGGAAGCACGCTCCCCACAGAGGCAGAAGGTGGGAAAAGCACCCAGCCTGACCAGGTGGGTTACGTGGCACTGGTGGGAGAAGCATGGCAGCGAGGATCATAGAATCATAGAATCGTCTAGGTTGGAAAAGACCTTTAAGATCATCAAGTACAACCATTAACCTAGCACTGCCATCCCACCACTAAGCCATGTCCCTAAGCACCTCATCCACCCACCCTTTAAATACCTCCAGGGATGAGGACTCAACCACCTCCCTGAGCAGCCCATTCCAGAGCCTGACAATCCTTTCTGTGAAGAAATTTTTCCTAATGTCTAACCTAAAGAGGTTCCTAAGAGGAACAGACTACATCTGAGGACCTGCATGATGGCAACACAGTAGATTTGCAGTCCTGAAGGGGACAAGCTGCCATCCACACAATGTTTTCACACCATCAGCTCAGTCAAGTGACTGAAGATTGATTTTGGAAAGTCTTTAATGTAACAGGCAGGTGATACATGCAGAAAGAAATGACACAAGGGCTGGGAAAGGAACTTGAAATCTCAATTTCAGGGATGAGTAATCACAGTCCTAATTGTTGCCAGAAATTACATATCCCATGACAGGTAGGAGCACACAGTATCAGAAAAGATTTGGAGTTGTTGATGATTTCTAGGCTTCTACCATGGATCAGAAAGAAGCAGCATCTCTGCATGTCTCTTATCTAGCCTTGGACACCACTGCCTCTAATGCTTAGTATGTAGGTGGGATCCTGGTTCTGCCTGGTCCTCTTTCTACCCCTGCATGCACATAGGTGTCAAAGTTCCAGCCCCAGTGTGCTCCTGAGCCAGCTCTTTTGTTATTGCGCAAAGCCCTTGCACAGCCATATAAAAGGGGGAGGCTTTTTGCATGTCCCTCTGTCCCCACAGGGCTGCATAAAGGTAATTTACCCTGTATTTCAGAGGCACTTTTATTGGCAAATGATTGGCAATCATCCAGGTGGTGAGGAAGGCAGGGGCTGGGGAAAGGGGGAGGGCATTTACTGTGATACTTCGTCATCACACCACTGGGACAGCCTGTTGTCTGCCTGGTCTTTCTGTCCCATTGACAAAAAGGGGAAGGGCAGAGAGGGGCCTGACACATAGGGATCCAGGCCCAGACCTGTTTTGGAAGCAAAAATCTTCATCATACTAGTACAATTAGATGACAGCCAGGAAAGATTTTGTTGCCTGTGTCTACATTAACCTGCTGCTCTTTGCAAGTACAAAAAGTAGCACGATTTCTGCTCTTCATTCATTTAGGAGTAGAACAAAACAATGCTTTTAGGAATGTTTTGGAAACAAAAGAGTACAACTCCATGCTTGCTGTAGAAAGCTATTTTTCCTGGAAATGTTTGCACGTTTCTTCAGTAATAAGAACAAAGATGCCTCTACTATCTGCCTCTTACTCCTTCAACTGGGAGATAAAGTTGCATAGTCTTGTCCTTCTGCTGTTTTATTAGCCACCAGATTATTATTTTCCATCAAAAAAATAAATGCCACACCAATCTTTTCAGCTGAAATAAAAACCTGGCTTTCTCCTGTTAAAGTTTCAATAAAAATGTAACAGCCCTTCTGGAGTGTATCACATAATATTCCAAAGTGGTACTTGCATGAACAAAATGCTGTGTTTACACATTAGTACTTGAATAGCTCCAAAGGAACCATCACAATTTATTAGTTAACTATAACTAATACACCTACTGAAATGCTTTAGTGATTCCTCTTTCATAAACAAAGAATTGATGCCAAGTTCACTTGAGGAGCTCACTTGAGAAATCATAATATCTTTGAAAATGCTATTTTCTGGTCTTTTTGGTACAGTGGAGATATCTAATAAGGATAATTAACATTGTATTACATGAAGAAATGCTTAATGAAATTCAAAGCTCAAAGAAGACAAAGAACGCTTTCTATGTTTATTTTTCCAGGTACTCCCAAAACAAGTGTCTTACTCAACTGAGAAGGGGCATGTTTATATGCATTTCTGTTCCCTGGGCCAATCTATGGTTTTAGGCTTATTTCCAGGTCAGTGAGATGCCTATTCACTTCAGCGTTAAGTTTTCTGAGATATCACAGAAAAATAATATTGGAAGGAGCACAGTGAGGTCCCTCTGAACATACCAAGTGGCGAGCCATGGATCATGGGTACTGTGCAAGTGACGTAGAATCATAGAATCGTTTGGTTGGAAAAGACCTCTAAGATCATTGAGTCCAACCGTACCTGTCCACTACTAAACCGTGTCTCTAAGTACCTGGTCTACCCATCTTTTAAATACCTCCAGGGATGGGGACTTGACCACTTGCCTGGGTAGCCTGTTCCAGTGCCTGATAACCCCTTCTGTGAAGAATTTTCTTCTCATATCTAATCTAAACCTCCCCAGTGCAACTTGAGGGCATTTCCTCTTGTCCTATCACTTGTTACCTGGGAGAAGAGACTGACAGGCACCTCACTACAACTTCCTTTCAGGCAGCTGTAGAGGGCAATAAGGTCTCCTCTCAGCCTCCTCTCCTACAGAGTGAACAACCATTTTCCTCACCTGCTCCTCATAAGACTTGTGCTCCAGACCCCTCAGCAGCTTCACTGCCCTTCTCTGGACACACTCCGGCACCTCAATGTCCTTCTTGTAGCGAGGGGCCCAAAACTGAACACAGTATTTGAGGTGCAGCCTCACTAATTGTCCTGATTTTGTCTGGGATAGAGTTGATTTTCTTCTTTCTTCCTGGTAGCTGGTATAGTGCTATGTTTTGGATTTAGTACTAGAAGAATGCTGATAACTCATTGATGTTTTTAGTTGTTGCTGGATGGTGCCTAGACTAGACAAGGGCCTCTCAGCTCTCAGCTCTGCCAGGTGCACAGGAAGCTGGGAGGGAGCACAGCCAGGACAGCTGACCCCAACTGACCAAGGGGCTATTCCAGACCATATGACGTCCTGCTCAGTACATAAGCTGGGGGAAGAAGAAGGAAGGGGGGGACACATTCAGAGTGATGGCATCTGTCTTCCCAAGTGCTTCCCTTTGCTTTGCTTTGCTTGCGTATGCAGCTTTTCGTTTACCTATTAAGCTGTCTTTACCTCAACCCACAAGTTTTCTCACTTTTACTCTTCCAATTCTCTCCCCCATTCCACTTTGGGGTGAGTGAGCGAGTGACTGTGCAGTGTTGTATTGCCAGCTGGGGTTAGACCATGACACCAATGCCAACAACAGCAGAAGGATGACTTCCCTGCTGCTGCTGGTCACACTATTTCTGATACAAGCCAGGATGCTGTTGGCCCTCTTGGCCACCTGGGCACACTGATGGCTCATATTCAGCTGGTTGTCAACCAGTACCCCCAGGTCCTTTTCTGCCAGGTTCCAGCCACCCTTCCCCAAGCCTGTAGCATTGCATGGCGTTGTTGTGACCCAAGTGGCAGACCTGGCACTTGGCCTTGTTGAACCTCATACAATTGGCCACAGCCCATCAATCTAGCCTGTCCAGGTCCCTCTGAAGGGCCCTCCTACCTTCAAGCAGATCAACACTCCCCCCCAGCTTAGCGTCATCTGCAATCTTGCCAAGGGTGCACCCAATCCCCTCATGCAGGTCATTGACAAAGATATTAAACAGAACTGGCCCCAACACTGAGCCCTGGGGAACACCACTTGTGACTGGCCTCCAAATGGACTTAATTCCATTCACCACCACCCTTTGGGCACAGCCATCCAGCCAGTTTTTAACCCAGCAGAGAGTACACCTATCCAAGCCATGAGCAGCCAGTTCCTCCAGGACAGTGTGGTGGGAAATGGTGTCAAAGACTTTAGTAAAGTCCAGGTACACTACAGCCACAGCCTTTCCGTCATCCACTATGCAGGTCACCTTGTCATAGAAGTAGATCAGGTTAGTAAAGCAGGATCTGCTTTTCATAAACCCATGCTGACTGGGCCTGATCTTCTGGTTGTCCTGGACGTGCCGTGTGATGGCACTCAACATGATCTGCTCCATGACCTTCCCCAGCACCAAGGTCAGACTGACAGGCCTATAGTTCCCCAGATCCTCCCTCTGGCCCTTCTTGAAAACGGGCCATTTGCCAACCTCCAGTCTAGCGGAACTTCCCCAGTCATCCAGACTGCTGATAAATGATGGAAAGCGGTTAAGTGAGCACCTCCACCAGCTCCCTCAGTACTCTTGGGTGGAGCCTGTACAGCTTCATGGACTTGTGTACGACTAATGGGCTGAGCAGGTCACTAACCATTTCCTCTTGGATCATGGGAGCTTTGTTCTGCTCCCTGTCCCTGCCTGCTGGCTCAGGGGGCTGGATACCCAGAGAACAGCTGACCTTACTGTTAAACACCAAGCCAAAGAAGGCATTAAGTAGCTCAGCCTTATCCTCATCCTTTGTCACTATGGTTCCCCCTGCATCCAGTAAGGGACGGAGAATCTCCTTGGCTCTTGGTTTGTTGTTAATATTTTTATAGAACCATTTTTTATTGTCTTTCACAGAATTGGGCAATTTAAATTCTAGCTGGGCTTTGACCCTTCTAATTTGCTCCCTGCATAACCTCACAACATCCTTGTAGTTCTCCTGAGTGTCCTGCCACTTCTTCATAAGGTCATAAACTCTCCTTTTTGTCCTGAGTTCCAGCCATAGCTCTCTGTTCAGCCAGGCTGGTCTCCTTCCCCAATGGCTCATCTTTTGGCACATGGGGATGCTCTTGAACCTCCAGGATTTCCTTCCTGAAAAGCATCCGGCCTTCTTGGGCTCCTTTGCCCTTTAAGACTGCCTCCCAAGGGACTTTGTCCACTAGCCTTCTGAATGGTCCAAAGTCTGTCTTCTGGAAGGCCAAGGTGGTAGTTCTGCTGAGCCCCCTCCTCACTTCTCCAAGAATCAAGAATTCTATCATTTCATGATCGCTGTGCCTCAGGCATCCTCCAGCCATCACATCATCCACAAGGCCTTCTACGTTCACAAACAACAGGCCAAGCAGGGCACCTTCCCTAGTCAGTTCACTCACCAGTTTTGTTAGGAAGTTGTGCTCAGGAAGTTGTGCGGCCACATAGTGCAGGAAGCTATATTGCCATGTACTGGCAGAACACAAATGGGCATGAGGAAGGAGAAGAAAAGGAGCGCTCAAAGCTTCAGTTTACTTTGTTTACAACTGAACACTATTGAGAAAACCTGCACAGGAAGGTATGGATTTGGGTTTTTTATTTTGTTCCTTTTCCCCACGCCCAAAGTGGTTAGATTACGTTCCAAAAAAATGAGAATGCAAGACACCAGTCTGGTCTATCCCTTGCCCCAAAGATCTGCCTTATGCTATTACTGCCAGCCCTTTGTCTGATATGCTATCAAAAGACTGTAGAGTTGAAAGCAAAACAGTGAATAAGGCTGTGGTCAACAGCTAGCTGGCCACTGCAGTGCTCACTACACTGCAATACAGACTTGTCTGCTTTCAGTCATTTCATTTTCCCCTATCTCCGATTTCCAGGTTGTTGATCTGCTTTTTATTTTCTCAGCATCTGCAGTAATTCCCATTCCTCCACCCAGTAGAACTTACTGACTCACTCAGTCCTTTCTGTTCTCTGAGCGCTTATGCTGGGATCTAAAATATTCCCTACCATAAGGTAACCAGGAAAGACATCAGATGATGATTCCCAGCACGTAGAAAAAAGGCTTCACTGAGACCTGTCCCATGTAACAGGTACCAAAACAGACAGGTAGAGATAATAGTGAGAAGTTATTCACAGAATGAGCACTGTGACAAGACACTAATAGTTTGAGTGATCAAGACATTAAGGTGATCAACAGCACAATATCTACTGTCCAGTTTTCCTTCTTCCAGATCCTGAGATTTTTTACCACACCTTGGTCTGTGTTCATGGTGTAACTCCAAAAAACTCTCAAGCCTTGCATTTCCTGGACCTTCTTCAGAAAAGGGTCCTGAACAAGCAGCATTTGCTCTGGCTGTCCCTGTTTAGACAGAAAAGCCTTTATTTTGCTGTCCTCGGGGACCTTTGCTTCAGCCATTCCTCCTCCCCAGGCTCAGCTTTCTCTCTTTGGTATTTTACTTCAGTCTTTCTCTCTCCCTCTGTATCCAGCCAGAAAAGCTGCATTACTCAGAGGTCTTCTTGTAGAGAAACAAATAAAGTTGAGCAAGTTCTGTGTAAAGGTACTTGAAATATTTAGAGATATTTGCAGTTACTTGAAACTCCAGCTATGTGGAAACAAATGCCTCTTTTCAGCACTACAGTAATGTTTCATCTCCCTTACACACTACAAGGCAGGCTTTAAAGGCTGATGTTGAAGGGTCTTTTTCAAATTTGGTACAAATTCATGTGGAGGTTCATAGAACTTTTCAGGAACGATTTTTCCCTCATTTTTCTGAGAGAGCAGTAGGTTCTAACATGTGCAAGAGCAACATTTCACTCTGCAGATGAGTATTGAGGCCCAAAACTGAATGAGGTATGTAGACATGCAAACAGCATATAATGATTTTGCTACTTTACAAGCTGCTGGAGAGTCTCCTTTGGCAGACAAAAGAAAGTATTCTTTTTAGAGTAAGACCCTGCCAGCCCCATCAGCACCACTTCTTTGGGTAAAACCTTGCTCTCTCTGTTTATTCCTCTGCAAAGTCTCCATCTCTGGACAGTACCAGTTTCTCTCTAGCTGCATAGTACTTGAGCAGTACAGTACTTGCACGCAAACCAACATCGAATCTCAATGGTACTTGTGCATTTGTGCAACAAATGGTATTTCAAGTCCCTCTTCTAGTCTCTCTTTCTAGCTTACAATGTCAATTCATGTATTTAATTGAATTCTTCAGTTCGTATACTTTTTATTCCTTTGCATTTGTGCTAAGTCCTTTTTATTCTGCCTATGCAATGTATGTGGAGAAATAAATTCAAGGTGGCATTCATCTGATTTGATGTCAGACCCACAGTGACACTATCCTGGACATATGGGGTCATCTTCTTTTTTCATAGAATCATAGAATTATACAGTCATTTACATTGGAAAAGACCTTCAAGACCATGAAGTCCAACTGTTAACCAAGCACTGCCAAGTCCACCACTAAACCATGTCCCTCAGCACCACTTCTAGATGTCTTTTAAATACCTCCAAGGATGGGGACTCAACCACTTCCCGGGGCAGCCTGCTCCAATGCTTGACAACATTTTCGGTGAATAAAGATTTCCTAATATCCAGTGTAAACCTCCCCTGGTGCAAATTGAGGCCATTTCCCCTCGTCCTACCACTTACCACTTGGGAAAAAAGACCAACACCCACCTCGCTACAACCTCTTTTCAGGTAGTTGTAGGAAGTGATAAGGTCTGCCCTCAGCTGCTCCTCATCAGACTTGTGCTTTAGGCCCCTCTCCAGCTTCCTTGCCCTTCTCCAGACATGCTCCAGCACCTCAACATCCTTTTTGTAGTGAGGGGTCCAAAACTGAACACAGTATTCAACACAGTATTCAACGGTGCAGCCCCACCAGTGCCAAATACAAGGGGGCGATCACTTCCCTACTCCTGCTGCACCCAAGTGCAGGACCCGGCACTTAGCCTTGTCATTTGTTATTGGGTTTGTTCCTTTTTTTAATTGCCAATCACAATTTCCATTTCATGACAAACTAGAAACAGCCACTGGGCTAATACGTATTTGTTATTCAGAATGAATTATTCAGGTCTTCTTCCAGGTTGAAGCAGGTACTGCATTTTATAATCAGTTTGTGAAAGATGTCAAACACTGTTGATAGCCTGTCAGTGGTATCTCATTTGTATGCATCAGAGTCAATGTTCTTACCTCTTACTGTGCCGTGCACATTCAATTTAGTATACTTAATATCTCTGAGCAGTGAAATGTTCTCTTCAGTTGATTCATTATCTTGCAGAACTCCTCCGCTAGAAAAGATAAGCACACTTCCTAGTTGAAATAGTTTATATTCCCTGATGGACTTTCATTCATTCTCTCTGCTCTGTGACCTCTCGTGAAGCCTACAAGGCGGCATGAACAATTATCTTCTGATACATAAGTGTATTGTATGTCAAACAGCTATTAATATCATAAGATCGTTTCATTTCATGTCGGGAACTACAAAACGGTGATGCATGATGAGATGATTGAGATGAACATACAACACAAATGTGGGAAGAGAGAAGCTGTGGGAAGGTTATTATCTACCTCTAAGCTGGGGGTAAGGTGTTGCAGCAGAAAGAAATCTAAGCCTAGTAGACGTGTCTTGATAGTCTGCTGCACTTTGATTTTGAAAAGTTAAAGAAGTTTCGGTTCCACACATACACACATCTCACATTCTGCAGGAGATAGGTTTCTTTTTCACCTGAGCGTACCATTCTACAACATTCAAACCACAATGAAGTATTTCTACCATTGTCTTTGTAGATGCACAGGCCCTTAGGAAAGGCTGACTATTAGATCAGTCACATACTCCTGTTGATTGCAAATAGACTGGAAAAGTGGTGAGCTCACATAAGCAAGTCTCATTGAAGATTAGACCAGAAAACCTACTCAAAGAATAGTTTTTCTGCAATATTTCAAACATAATTTATATTCCAGTGTTGTTACAAAAGGCTTTACTGCAGTGTGCATATGTGTTGCACAACTGCAACTCCAACCTTGTCATATGAGGGAACATCTGATGATGCACATACAAAGCTCAGTGTGAGCAGAGCCAATGTGTCCTGGTCAGCCTGACCCAAAGAGATGCCTTGGGTTGAGGACATACCATCAGACTAACCTCATTACGTTATGGGCCCAGATCCCTCCAAAGGTAAAAGTTAGGCTTTTACTCCCACATATTTTACAGACATTTTCACAGATGCCTTGAAGGAGCACTCTCCCTTCCCCATCCCACACTGATGACTGTGTCCACTGCTGAAGAGCACCAGGTCATGAGCCTTCAAGGTCCTGAAGCTGTGCATGGAGGAGCCAGGAGGAGGCGTCTTTCTCCCTGAGACGAACACATAGAGCAGGCAGGTTCCTTAGCTTCTTTTTACCTAACTCCTGCCAGTTTAATCCTGCCACAAGATATCAGGAGGAAAAAGCAAAAAGCTGGAAACAAAAACAATCATCAGCCTTCAGCACCCAGCACTAAGAGGGTATTCAACCACTGTGCCCCTGCTGGGTAGAGGCAGCTTGTGCAGGAACAGAAATGAATATGATACAGACATGATGGGGAATGATCCTGGTGTACCAGATTGAGCTTCAAGCTGAAGAGTGCAGACCTGACTGCTCTTCTGGAGAGACATTATTACTCTATGATACCTGGAAGGCCACAGCCTTTTACTTACGCTGCAAAGCGTGTGAAATCCTTGCCTTCAGTCAAATTGTATTGATATGGTTTCAGCTGCATTACACCAAAATAACAAGCCATTCACTGTGTGAACTGTTAAACTATTACATAATACAACTCCTTTCCCTAAAAGAAAAGATGGTGCCTTTTATGGCTAGGCAAGGGATTAAGAGACAGGTTAAGGTTAACATAATTAACAGAGATTAAGGTAACAGTAGGTTCTGTTGCCACCTCTCTCCCAGCGCTTCTGTACGTACCTTTGGGAGGGAGCTTCACAGTACCCCCATTTGTCCTTCTCAGGAACTTTGTTCATCTTCACTGTCTGCATTGTAAACCCTCCAGAGGCAGGGATTTTTGTGCCAGATCCTGTAACTACCTCTGGAAGGGTCCCATTCTCAGGAGGACACTCCATGAAACCCCACAAGCAAAGAGCAGGGACAACTTCCTGTGTACTATAAATGCCATGCCTTCTGTTCCTGTTCTGATCAATAATCCCTGGTAAATGCCTGTCTTGTCCTCCTGATCCTTGTGACCCAGCTAGGGTGCAGCTATAAATAACCTCTGGTAGCTGTCAAGGAAAATTCCTCAGAGTTTGCTCTAACTATAGGGTTAAGAATAGATTGGGGTAGGCACTGTTAAAGAATGGGCATATATTATATATGTCTTCAGTCCACGATAAAATGCTCAGTTGTCCCCTGTACAGCTCCCTTCATGGCTGGGTTAACCACCAGCCAAGCTGAAACGGTAGAAAAAAGCAAATAGAAATTAAGGTTAAGCAATAGGTATTGTAGAAGTTTTAGACTTAGAGATAAGGTAAGGATGTCTTGCAACTAAAGGTCAAGGGTTAGAATTTAGAATTTAGAACAAGTTAACAAAGAACGCCAAGCTTCAGTGCCACCACAGGATGAAGAAAATGACATTTGAAACGGACCAGATGAAGCAGAACTGTGACAGGACTGAGATGGAACGTACCAGCAGAGGAAAATTGAGAACTTTCTGCTGACCAAGAAGAATAGAGGAATTGAGAATGCAGTGGAAACTTACAGTAGACTTTGTCTGTTATGTAATCATGTTGAAAATGTATATAAGGTGTAAGGTGGATTTTTTACATTGCCACTCACTGAGGTGATGGCCCAACTCTTGAGTTGTTAACAAAGGCAAACCTAGAGAAACCCAAACTCTGGTGAAATTCTTTAACGGTAGCCCAGATGTCACAAGCAAGGTGCCCAGGTTCCCTTCCTAGTCCAGATAGTCACAGAGCTCGGAATGAGATTCTTCTGGCCTTAGAAATAATGAATGCACTTCACTTATTTTCTTAATATACTTCAAGAAATGTAGATGCTTGATAGCAGCAGCACAGCAATACACTGGTGCTGTGATGCTTCTTGGCAGCTACAGTGGTATCAGTAGGGTGGCACTACACGAGAGAGAAAAATGTTCTTTGGAATGGGCTATGACTTAAATTATGTGCTTGCAAATCTCAGCTTATTGCATACAAACATGTTCTGCCTGAAGAAATGTTAACATATCTTCTGTCAGTGATTTGTCATGTTTTCTCAAGCCTGACAGTCAGTAGGTAGGCTGTGAGTAGAGGAGGCAAGAGTTTTCATGAGAAGCTGTGGAACTTCCATAGTCAAGAAATAATAGTGATTGATGACACTCCACAGCCAGAAAGAAACTCTTTTAATTCAGTTCGCTCTCAGCAGTTTCCTTATATACCCCCAGATAGAAACCTAACATAATACACTCTCACACACACAAACATTGTATCTGCTAGCCAGACTAACTATCTCTTCTCTCTGCAGCTTGGGCTATTTCAGTTCTATGTGGGAGTTTCATCTAGATTGCAGCACTGATAGAACACAAATAAAGCATCAAACAGACAAATCTATCTGGAAGGAATAATTCAAATAGTAAAAGGCAGTGTGCCTCCAGGATTATCAGAACAGAAGCTATCAAAAGATGTTACCTTCCCTCAATTAAAAAAAAAAAAAAAAAAAAAAAAGAGGAACATTACTTCAGAGATGTGACTCCTCCTGAAATCATCCATGTCATAACCCCAACAGGCTTATTAGCAGATTTGACATAACTTGAGGTGACAGGATTCTTTGTCAATGTCTGAAAAGTTTCCTTGACAAAGGGAGTTGTGTGGCACCTTTCACAACCCCTATCCTTGCAGATCACTGCCAAAGCTGCTCCAGAGTCAGTAAAGGCATAGACACACAGAGCCATACAGAACCAGAACAATGTAATTTGCAAAGTCTTTTGCATGGAGGTGCAAATGAGGAGTCCCAGGCTGCAAGGGCTTCCTTGGTGAAACGGAGGCAGAGGAGTGTGTTTTTGGCTTCACATGAGAGGTGCTTCAAAGCCCTGCACCTTCACTGAGTGACTTCTCACCCAGGAGTCTCTGTTGCCTGCTGCTGAGCCCTAGGCTGTTCCCTCCTCTGGGGTCACTTGACAAGGCAGTCCTGCCTGCACCTCTCCAGCAGCTGTGCCCAGTCTGACCCTTCCCTGCCCATCACCGTGGCTTGAGGTAGCTACCTCCATTCCACCACTAGACTATGCTGTCCTCGCAAAAAAACCCTGCAGATGCTCCCAGTCCATTCTCACCTCCTGCTTCCCTTGGTGCCACTGTCTTTGATTCACACAAAAGTTACACAGCATGAACCGTCTCCTCTCTTCCCCTACCCCCCACACCTTTCGTTTAGGACAACAATTTCCTGACACAAGTTGACAACGTGCTGCTACCTGCAGGCAAGCTTAGAGTATAGCATCAAGTATCCCAATCTGCTGAAAAAGACATGTAATAGATAAACTTGCTTTTCTGACCACCTGTCTCCATAATTTAGAGCTATTAGCAACTGTAGACAGAATCAGATCAGGAAGGAACTAGCACATACTGCCCAGTGTTTTCTAAACACTGTTGCCTGTCCAATGGCCTTGAATCTGGTTGCTACTATGGAACATAGCATGATAGTTCCCTGGCCTTTTCTAGGATTCCATGCAGGTCACTAAATGGACTATTTTCAGAAAGCTGCAAAAATGAAAAAGATTCCAAAAGGTGGAGAGGAAGTAGTGCTGGAGCAGTTGGACCCTGCTGAGTTCAAAGCTTTCAAGAGTTCTGAGTTGGCAAAACTCTGACATGAGAAACAAAGAACTGAAGCCTCTTTCACCCTGAGACACATGGCTTTATTTGTAAAAAGTAATTAAAAAAATCACAATGCCAAGGCAGTTATTAACGTATGACATTGTTTTATAATCTAAGAGACTGGAAATGCAAATGGAAGGCTGAAAATACACTTGAGAAACCTAAAGACTAAAAAATAAAGCAAGAGAAATAATTTTTTTAATGTCTAACTTGAAATTTTGCTGAACTGTTAACAGTTCATGCTTCAAGTCTGATAATTAGGTAAGATGTGTAAGGTTATTTTTCAAAACTGTCATTGCGAGGCTATTCTGTGATGATTGTATCTCACTTAGAAACCTTAAAATCATTGTCCTGGCAAGAAGCAGATTCAGCATGAAATGTTTGATCTGCAATTCCTTTGAAGTCTGTATCCACAGAAGAGAGACCTGAAGAAGTTGCCTTCACAAGCATGCAGCTAGTGAGTGTCAGAATCTGGATCCCTAATGCCTCCTTACTCAGTAAACATAGCTCCTGCATTTGGCCTGGCTATTGTCTCTTTCCAGATGCACCATACTGGTTTAGCCTTTAGTGTTAACACCAGTCTGAATTCCACATCACTATCTTCCCTTCTACCAAGTTACCTTTACACTTTTATCACTGTAAATGCTTTTCAAGAATCTCATTGCACAGTCTGCAAGTCAAGCTGAACACCTCAACAAAAAAACTTGCCATTTTCTTCCTGATAGACTGTGAGCAGTAAATCTACTCTGACATCCAGAACACCATCTCTCAGGACTAAGAACATCCCAAGGTAAGTACACTTCCTTTAAATATCTGGAAATAACAAGAAATATCTTCTACTCCCAAACCAACAAATGTAGCATTTCTGTTGCACATGTTCCTACCCTGGAGGTAGGCCTTCTCTTTGACCCCAGCATTTGTGATTCTGGGTCCTGCCCCGATGGGTAACACCCTCAAAACAAAGTCTGCTCTTTCTTTTTATATTGACAGAAATAGATTTGTAAGACAGTTCCTAAGGTAGGTTTTATCATCTACTGACAAATCTAAGGACACTCCAGCTACCTGACACTATTCAAGTTTGTACCATAGACTGTTCTGAGGATGCCAAAGTGAAGCCATCTTCCTTTTTCAAAGCAAAAGTCCTGAATGTAGCTTGAGTGAGATAGACCCACATGGCCACCTGAAGCACCACCCAGAGCTTAGCCACACACTAACCCAGTACCAAAGACAGTCCTTTCCTATCAAAATAGCACAAGAAAGGTAAGGGAAATACAGTAGCACTATTACTCTATTCAAAAGAACTTCCATTTATAATTTAATCTAAACATTTGCCTCATCTGAAAGCAAGAACAAGTCAGGATTTCCCTCTTGTGAAGCAGGACATCAAAGAACTCGCTGAAATATCCCAAGGGAAGGCCATTGGGATGAGAGGCCACAATGGCTGCCCAGCCTGCCATCAGCTTCTGTGGGCCTTCCATCAAGACCAGGCTACATAAACCTATCTCATATAAACATAGACCAGCTGCATAACCCTGAATTGTATAAAATCCTGATTCAGCAGAGCTCTTCATGCAACACTCAGAAGAGAAGCCACACATATGGAGAACAGATGAGAAGAGTCTAAATAGCTTTGTTCTTGGTGCCTCTTTCATATCCTGGTGTCTCGTTCAGTCTCTCTCATAGAGGGACTTGAACAACCCTTCTAGAACATGCAGATCTCAGTACAAACATTCTAAAAGAAGGAAGGTAAAGTTTCTTGCAGAATTTTATAGTCATTTACTTCAGGAGACAAAAGCCCCACAGTGCTGTTAAATACCAAGGGAGCAAAGACCTCTTGCGAGTCACCTTACAGCCTTGATTGTACAAGCTGTGCTTGTTCTATTTTAAGTCTTCCATCAGTAGCTCTTCCTCTCACCCTTTTTAATATATAGGCCATGCCTGCTATTGATCCATGCATTTTTCAGCATGGTATGGAGTTACCTCAGTCTATAGAATTACTCAGAAAAGCTCAAGGGATCAGGAGATAATTGGGCAAAAAAAATAATTGATGCCATTTCTGTACTTTCTTTTTACTGCAGGAGAGTCAAAAGAAAATTGAAGGGCATGGAATACTTTTGAACCAGAAGAAAATGTCTTTTGGAAACTTTTCTATAGAAGATTTTTAAACATTGCCCAATTTGAGATTTCACATCCTCATTTAGGGATTAAAGATGAGGAAAGCAAGATTTTAATGGCTCACAGCTCTAGATAAACTTAAACTTACA